AAGCACATCTCGAAGTGTGTAGATGCTGACGGTTCCTGGCAATGGTTGATTCCATAGCCTTCTGCTCCTCCCACTAAGTTTTGTGTTTGATTCATTTGTTGTGAAATTTTTTCATCAAGTATCACTGAGTGGTTGGTTGGCGGGTGCTCTGGTGGGATTTGCTGCTCCTTGTTTCCTATCAAACACCTATCGTCTTTATCTCCCCTTTTTCTTTTTTGTGTTGGTTACTCTCTTGTAAAACCTCTATTCTTCGGCACTTGTATCACCTCATTGTGTTGCAAGGTCCGTATAACTCTTACTAAAAAAATCAAACACACAAAAAAAGACACTATTCTAACAGCTCCCATCTCTCAAACCCGCAGGATTCGAGCCTCCACCTGGCAGCGTCTGCTGGCGCTACAAGACGACGTTCTGAGCCAGGTCCTGGCGGGTGTGCTGGCCAACGACCCGATCGCCCCCGTCCTCTCGCAACGCCACCTGGACGCCCTGGACCGGCGGCTGGTCTACATACTGGACGTCATCCAGGGCTGCATCACCCGTGTGGGTATGGGGGCCATCGTGATGTAGCTGGTGGGTGGAAGTAAAGTTAAGCCCCCCTACCCCCTCCTCCCACTTCATCCCCCTCGCCCTTCCTCCCACTTCATCCCTCCCTCCTCCCCTCCCTTCCCCCCACCTTAATAATCATGATAGCTGATGAGGGAAAGAAAAGTTCAGCATCCTGGTGAACTCAGGCAGCGTTAGTTATCTGTTCTTGTCTTTGTACAAGTAGCCTAAAGTGTCTCAGCATCGTGAGAGAAATTACCTGGGTAATAATCTTGGTATTTAACCCTATCTGTACGTCGTGTTTTACTATCATATCCATACGATGTGGGGAACTCTGTGCCACCACTTTCCAAAGAGGAAATTTACTGGTTAATCCGATCCGTACGCTCTGCATAGCAGTCTGTCAAAAGATTTTTTGAGAAATACTGAAAGTTTCAAAGAGATCTTTGTACTAGAAGTATTCTAAAATGTGAAGAATACCACCCAGGGGGTACAAAATGACCCCAGGGCGTACGGATAAGGTTAACAAAGGACAGAGACATAAAGATGACCCCACATAATATATAGTGACCCCTGATGTTGTGTACTAAGTCAAGTGCCCCAGTTCCAAGTGGGTGAAAGGGGCGGGTTGGGGTGGGGGGGCAACTTTACTTTTACGGGTTTAATAATGTTGATATTCTGTACACCCCGGTATTGTTTTACTGCAAGGATAGGGCTTGCACTTTCCATGACAGCTAAAAGTGGAAATTACTGATGTTGACAATAACGATTCCAACTTACAGCCCAACATGTACCCCTCAACCGACATCTCAACCGAATTGGAGTAAAGCAGTCTGCTGCCTGCCCACTATGTGACTACCCCTCAGAGACAGTGGAACATCCTCTGTTCTTCTGTAAAAAACTAACTGATTTAAAGGGGATGTTTTCTTCCCAAGCTACCCCACACATCTAACTGCCTCTACTCCTCAAGACAACAATTATTAGAACAGACATGAAGCTATTACACAATGGCATCATGCAGAAGAGTTAAAAGTCTGATGCTACTGGGTCACAAACAACAACAACAACAACGACAGTAACGATGGCAACTGTGTCAGTCCAAAAATTCAGGTCCTATTTAGTTTAAGTAATCTATTTACATAAACTAAAACCAAACTGAGTAAAAAGTAATGATCCAAGCAATAAATTAATAAATAATTCGATAACAGACAGCTAGGATTGGCTGGGATTTGTTACATGTTTGTTACCATTTTGAATATGTGTGAGGCAGTGTGGTGAAATCAGGTGCTCTCAAAACAATGAAATCAAAGAGACCGATATTTTTCTGGGCGTTGGGCAATTAAACATTTTTTTTTCTGTTTTTTGGCTCGGCACCTTTTCATCTTTTTATAAACTCATTTCTGTGTGGGTGTTACCGAAAAACGTTCATTAAAGTTGTTTGTTTTTTTTTGGGGGGGAGCAGGTGGATTTTTTGTATTCTGTTGAAAGATTGTTATGTTTCGTGATGCTGTGAGACTGCAATTTACTGATTATGTGAAGCCATAAAAAACAATCTAGTCCATGTACCTGGAAAGTGATATAATCATCTGTTTGTAGACCAAAAAATGTTTTGTTTGCCACTGTGTCTTTCAGTAAACTTACATTTTGGGTATGCAAGACTTAAATCGCAACAATGTCTCAGACTTTTGATTAAAATGCTGTTGTTTCCTGAGGCATAGCTAGCTACGCATCTGACAGAATCTGGCTTTTCCGGGTTTTTGGGGGTTTTTTTGTAACACTGGTCTTGCCCATGTCAGATATCTTCCTTGTGTGAAAGGGAGGACGGCTTATCTATATTATATCTGAAATAGTTGATTTCAGATTGGTAAAGCTACGCAAGTGTCTGATCTTGATACCATTGACGATGGCCAAGATATGACTCTACAATTCTGCAAAGGCCAGTTTAGAAGCATTCGTAAGTTTATATAAGCTGAGCGTCAAATGTTTTTTGCTTTTTTTTTTTTCTCTCAAAATCGTGACATATATACCTGTACAGATAAGTCGTTCTGCTTTTGGACAGCATAATACTGGGGTCATAATTTTGTGGTTTTGAATTATATCAATATCAACCTGTTTGTGGTAATGTTCTTTTGTGTGTGTATATAT